ATTGTTATGTCAGACCATTAAGACATATGCATTACATTGACTGGTTCACCAGTTGTATGTATCATATTTTATGTTCACCTGCGAATACAATTAGCTTTCCTGCTAGGATGTAGTGTTTAACTAATCACCTAACGTTATCTGAACAATCGGACCAGTGCTGCTTCCTCAATAAAGTTTATCATTCTCACGTGTTTTAAGCCTTGTCATTAAAGTGTTTAAAGTGTTTAAGCCATTCAAGCGTAAGACAGCACGGAATAGATTTCAGTGCGGTATTTAATAGACCTTTTAGACCTTTTCTGAAAGAGATTTAAATGCGGTACTCAGGCATTGTGATAGATCATTTCTGTTCGCGGCTTCGCGCTGGCGGCGCCGCACACACACACAAAGCCACAGCTCGGCTCGGACAGCACGCGAGTAGGCTACCAAATTCAGCTTTCTGTCGCGCCTTCATCAGCAAATGCACACAAAGCACGTCGGAATGACAGTCTTGAAGAGTATCCACGTAAACGAGTATTGTTTCCGATCCGCATTTTACCGATGCGGTTTCTTCAACCCCTAATACTGCTCGGTCCCATCGCCGTATCGGCTCAAATGCATAGGCAATTGCACTTATTATGGACTTAACAGTGCTTTCAATGTAATCTTCCTCCATTTCAAAACAAGCGCGTTCAAAATGTAAAGAAATGCTTCTATTACTTCACTGGCCATCGGAGCGAACCAACCCCGTGACGTCACATGTGGTGGTACTGCAAGATGGCGGCGCCCTTGCTCTAAAAGCTATAACAAAACATCCTTTTTTCTTTAAAATGGTTACATTAATCATGTTTGTTATATATTTTTTAATCAAAGTGGAAATCACTTTACTAAATAATGTTAACTTGAATGACTGCTTCATTTTCACTTTAATGTATGTTCAAGTGTTAGTATTTTCTAAAGATCTGAAGATGATCTGATTTGATTTTCGTGAAAATTGGAGTAGCAATCGAAAAAGTAGGCTTTTCAGAGAATACAA